GAAAGACTGATGTGCAGAGTGACTTTGTCTTGTTCTATGCTTGTTTATTGCTCTGTGACATAATACTGAGGCACTCCTTGTCCAGAGACAGATAATCTGGTACTAAACAACTCAGTTCTTTAAGAGAAACAATTGTCAAAAGCTGTGTCTTTATTCTCCCTGTAAACTGTTGCATTACACCCACAAAATACACAGTAAATTCACTTTACAATATATTTTGTGAAGCACTTTCAGATGTCTCAACGATGCTATAAGGCGCGACATCAAATGCTGATGATAACAACATCATCAGGAACATCATCAGGAACTTGGTACTGGGACAAACGAGGAGATACATGCTGTCCATTTTAACCTAGCAAGTTTCATAATGAATCCTGCTGTAGGGGGCACTGTGACACTAGGCTGAGAGAGCGAGAGGGAGAGAAAGAACAAATATGATGGCCACATCATGAAATGAACTGCTCAGTGATAAATTCTATTTTCTATTCAATCTGAGCTGGAGACCTTAACTGCTCACCACAAAACAATTAGAAATGAAGATTGTGACTTTTAGCGTAAAAGTCTTCAGCCAGAGATAATTCAAACAATGATGCAGTTCTGTGAATAATAATAATAATCCTTGCATTTGATATAGCGCCTTATCACGTCATCGAGACATCTCAAAGCACTTCACAGGATATAGATTACAGTAGATTGACCGTATATTTTGTGGCTGAACAGGAAATAGCAAAAATGTGGACTGACACTACTATCGTTTCTGGATTGAATCAGTTTCCTAATAATCGGATTAATGCTTGAGGAAAAATAATATTAGAAGGGCATAAAGTGAAACGAACACTGGTAGGATTGGAAAAGATTATGCCATTGGGAAAAGTTAGCATCAGCACAGATACGTTGGGTTGAGTGATCTCCATCTGTGCGGGGAACTTTCTGTGATTCTGTGCCTTTGATAACTTTGAGCTCACAGTCTAGGATGGCTCTCCAATGCTATGCTGAGAGGGGGCGAGGGGGAAGGTAGGGGGTGGTTGGGGTTAGAGTGCTGCATTGCCAGAGGTACCGTCTTGCGAATGATATAACAAACTGAAGTGCTACCTGTTTAGGTGGTCATTAAAAATCCCATGGTACTATTCGAAAAGAGAAGGGAGTTTCTCCCGGTGTCCTGGCCAACAACTCCCAAATCAAATTGCTCACTAACTGTTGTGTATTGATGAATGCAAATTGGCTGCTATGTTTGCCCACAAAATACACATAGTCACTCCACACCACTTTCCTTCTCTTTTGGAATAGCGCCATGGGATCGTTAATGATCCCCTGGACTGTGTTTCCCCAACAGTGCAATGGGGCGTCAATCAGAGCGGCATCTCCTCAAATGGCTTCTCCTCTAGCCTCCGAACCGTCTCATGTGGAGTTCCTCGGGGCTATTTCCTTGGTCCCCTCCTCTTCAACATCTATATGCTCCCCCTTGGTGACATAATCCGCAGACATGAGGTCAATGAGGTCCTCTCCCGCACTAGGCTCTACGACCCTATCACCCCCATCCTCGCCCAACTCCATTGGCTTCCCATCACACAGAGGATACAGTTCAAGATCCTGGTCCTCACCTTCAAAGCCTTTCATGGTCTTATTCCTCCGTACCTCTCCGACCTCCTAACCCCCTACCATCTTGTTCGCTCCCTCCACTCAGCGGGCTCCAGCCTGCTTCACTTTCCCCGCCTTGCTCGCCCCACTATCAGCCTTCTGCCACTCTGCACCCACCCTCTGGAACTCCATCCCGCAGTCCCTTCATCACGCACCCTCCCTCACTACCTTCAAGACCCATCTCACAACCCTCCTCTTCTATCGTGCTTTCGATCTCCCTGCTTCCCCCTCTGCCCTTCACCCTCCCCACCCCGACCCTGAGCTTGGGTAGGAAACTCTGTCTGTCCAGCGCCTTGGGACATCCTCCTCACGTGAAAGATGCTATATAAATGTAATTTTGTTGTTGTTGTTAGTGTTGTCAAGATGATGAGCTCAAAGTGCCTGACACCAAAATTTAACCCATTTATATAAGAACTCTCAAACCTCTCCTTCCGGGGCTCTTTCCCGGTGAGCTAGTTCTGGTTAGAAATTACCTGTTCATACATCTTTAAATATCCAATTTCTTGGTCTACTGACATCTGCCTGACAGGAGAGTACTCTCATTTATTTTTCATTTACGGCATCTATGAAAATTTAAAATCACAGGATCACTTTTTGAGTCAGACAGCATGAGTTCTGTGGCGAGAGTAGCAAGTTTCCAGCCATCACTTGAGCAGAATTCAGCTCTTATAGAATTTATAGATTTATAGAAGGATGCAACCAAGTCAGTAAAACAAGCATAGATGTATTTAAATGAAAGCTAGATAGTTAGATGAGGGAGAAAGGAATAGAATGTTGTGCTTGAAGGCTTAGTTGAGGAAGGGCAGGAGGAGGCTCATGTGGAGCATAAACACCGGCATAGACCAGTTGGGCCGAATGGCCTGTTTCTGCGTGTACAGTCTAATGTATTCTAACAAGAGGACACAGGTTTGAGTTGTAAAGGGTAATTTCAAGACACACATCAGGAAGTTTTTCTTTACTCGCAGAGTAATCTGATCGTGTTTGTCAGCCTGACGCAGTGATAGCACTCTCGACTCTGAGTCAGAGAGTTGTGGGTTCAATCCCCATGTCAGGACTTGGAATCACGCATCACTAGGAGCGTGTTGCATTGTCGGAGGTGACGTTGTTCGGATGAGATGTTTAATTGAGGTCTCATCTGCCTTCAGGTGGATGCTAAAGATGTTCGAAAAGAGAAGGGCGTTTCTCCCGGTGTCATGGCCAACAATCCCCCAAATAAAATTGGCCACTCACCCCATGGCTGTTTGTGAGACATTGCTGGATGCGAACTAGCTGATGCGTTTCGCTCATAAAATACACAGTCACTACACTTTACAGTATATCATGTGAAGTTTTCAGCCCTCTTTCCACTCATCACCCCCCCATCAGCTTCCACCCTCAGCTTGGGTGCTCAGAAAGAATTGGGATTAGATTGGGATTGGTGCTTCGGGATGTCCTTCTGACAAGGCATTGTAGAAGTGTAAATTGTATTTTTGCATTGCATTGAAAGATAGATGGTAGAGTGGGTATTCTGGAAGGGTGATGGCTCAGATTTGGGGTTGCACAGGGCAATTTCGGGACAGACAAAGGATAGCTAATGACCATAACAGCGTTACCAGGAAGGGTGGGTAAGGCTAGGATCCTGGGATTACAGTGATAGTTCAATTCTAGATGAAAGAATCTTAGAGTTTCTACTGTTGCCAAGTTGTGTTTTGGATCCAATTATTCACACTGTTTGCCTATTAGCAATAGAGCCGACGACAAATCGTGAGGATAATCACCACTCTACTGTCTACGCAAGTCAACAACAACAACAATTTACATTTGGATAGTGCTTTGTCACCAGGAAGATATCCCAAGATGCGAGACATTCAGGGATTTGCACTCGAGCAGGGAGTTGAAATCCCCTTGGTGACAACATCCATAGACATGGGATCAACTTCCATAACATGTAAGCGGATGACACCCAGTCAGGATGGTGATTGACTTTGGAGGTAGGTCAGGGGTGGTACCATGATAAGGCTGGTAGTCCTGGTGGAGGGTGGAGGTGGTGGGGCCTGGAAAGTGCTGAGGAAGCCTGGCTGGTGAGGTTCATTCTGGAGACAGCGCACCACTGCAGCCAGAGTACATCAATCTCTACTTCGTTCAATTCCTCCAAACATTTTCTGGCTGCTACTATTTAATAACTTGGTGCAAATGCATCATGCAATGTTGAATCAGGAATGATGAAATGATATGTTATTTTGATTTTCCAGATCGTATTTATTCATCAATTTTCCTCTCGCGGGTGTGCACACCCGACCCATTTACATAATAAAAAGGTATGAACACTGCAGAGGAGATCCCTTCAACAGCAGAGCTAGGGACCTATCCTTTAAACACTCATGCCAGCACCATACGATTGAAATTTTAAATACACTTTCCAATAATAATAATAATCCTTGCATTTGATATAGAGCCTTATTACATTTTCGAGACGTCTCAAAGCGCTTCGCAGAATATACTGCAAAGTGAATTGACTGTCCATTTTGTGGGCGAAACGTGGCAGCCAATTGCGCACAGCAAGTGTCCCCCACAAACAGTCGTGGATTGAATGACAAAATTATTTATTTATGCTAAACTAAATGAATGCTCGAGATGCGCCATTGAGAAAGCTCTTTACAGGACCTTGCTTTCCATCTCATTAACTCCATTTTAATCGTAACAATCGTTGCATTCAGTGTTGTTCCTTTCAAGTTTGGAGGATGTCTCAAAGCGCTTTACAGGATTCACTGTAAAGTGTATGAGTGGGTACTTTGTGAGTGAATGCGGTAGTCAATTTGTGCAGAGCAATGTCCCACAAACAGCCACGAAGTGAATGACCAATTTTTTTTTATTTGGAAGATTTTTGGCTAAGACACCGAGAGAAACCCCTTTTTTCTTTTCCATTAGTGTCATGGGATCTTTCACACCCGAACAGGCAAAAGGGATCTAGGTTTAACGTCTCATACAAGCGACAGCTCCAACAATATAAAGTTCATCAGCCTAGACTGTGCGTTCAAAGTACTGACGTGCGGCTTGAACCCACAACAACACCACCAACCTTCTAACTCAGAGGCGAGAGTGCTACCGACTGAGATGGGCTGAGATGCAAGAATCTTAAACTCTCGCACTTGAAGCACGTTGGCCAATACGGCCATTCCAAACAAACAACAGACTTGCTCTTGCTGTGATTTTTCAATGCCTTGTACAGTCAGGAACAATTTTAAAGGCTGGTTGCAAAGTTTCTCAAACTCGTGCACTCCAAAAGCAAAAGAGATTCCCCTCCCCCACTCCTGAATAATAAAATCACAGGATTTTTTTCGTATTTACGTGAAGCTTAAAACATACAAACTGTTCCTTCTTACCCACAGTAGTCAATATTGTTTCTGCCCACAGCATTCAGAGGGACTAACGGGCCCAAACCATTGATTTTCATTACCTCCAGGCAGCCAGTAAAATTGTTGAACGGTTCAATAATCTGCAAAACAAGGATTAACACTTTGGAATAACTTATATAACAGCCACTGCACAGTCAAATTGAGTTTCCTTGGAAAGAAGTCGTGCGCATTTCTACATTCTCACTGATTCAACGCCTCTGGACCAATGCTTGGATTTCATCCAGCGCTTGTAACCTCGCAAACCTCTCGTTACGTATCACGTAGAATTACATTGAATAATACACCTCACTTCAGCAAAGATGTTGAGGTCTTAGAGAGGGTGCAGAGGAGATTTACCTTGCCACTCTGTCCTGTCCCTCCGCTTGGCAAGCATTGGCCTGCTTCAAATCCCCCAACCTGCCTGCCCCACCATTGGTGTTGTGCTTTCTGTCTTTCTGCTTCCACCTTCTGAAATTCCATCCCAAAATCCCTTCACTTTAACACTTCCCTCGCCTCCTTTAAGGTCCGCCTCAAGAACTTTCTCTTTGACTGTGCCTTCGGTCAACTTGCGGATTTTGTGGACGAACGCTTATGAAATATGAACCATAAGATCACAAATTAGTTTGGATGAAGCAGGTCCCTCAGCCAGATTGATCTCATCCTTCCAGAATAACTACCCTACTCTCATAGGAGCATATGAATTTAGGAACAGGAGTAGGCCATTCAGCCCTTCAAGCCTGTTCTGCCATTCCATTAGATTATAGCTGATCTGTACCTTAACTGCGATTTCAATTATCCTCCCATCACAGCATCAAACTTTTAAAAAAAAACTAGTTCAGTGTCCTGGCCTCAACCCTGTTCCAGTGATAAAATGTCCTCTGAGTAAAGTCTGAAGTGTCGAACGTAATTTTTATTATTATTGTAAACTGAGTCTTTCGTGTAAAGTGAAGCCAGAGACAATCACAATTGAGAATTGCATTTTCTCCTACATTAGCACAAGTTTATGTGCCAGTCATAACTTTCTACAATTCAGCTCCCTTTTACTTTCTCAAAAGGACTAATTGTGTGATTAGGCAGCTCTCCGTCATCTCCATGTTCTCCTCCATTAGTTTTAAACTTTAATTTTCCAATGTGAATACATTATACTTGACACCAGTTAATAGGGGGCATGGATGAAAAGGCCATTACTTTGTAGGGGACGTTTTCTCTGGAGCCAATTGATTTCCAATGTATCTAAATCAGCGCTGATGGCTTTTGTTTAATAGAGATGATCTGATAAATGGGAATTATTTCATTTTCACTGCCGCATCGCAAGAAATAGGCTCCAACTTTATCAAAAGCTCATCATTTGTCCTGTCAATTTAACAGATTTAGTAGCTGCAGCTCCTAACAAGCTTTCGACCAATTTCCACTCGCTCGCCTTCCTCAAAAGCCTTTTCTCCTGACATTAAACTCTCACCGTGAAGGCATGACTAATTCCATTTATGACTCTGCTCATTTCGGTGATAAACATGGCTATAATTTCCATATCCACTGATCAATATGTCTGCCACTAAGCCCAGGACAACGTGCTTAATAACTTCTCTGAGAGAGACGTCATCGAGATCCTTCATCGCCGAGAGACAGCTAACAAAAACAAAGTTTCCAGACCCAGTTCCCGTTGTTGGAAAATTGAACCACTCAGCATCACGGCCATTTAGACAGAAATGAAAGGAGCGACGGCTTCAAAAAGCATCTTTCTGCAGCTCTCAAAGTGGAGTTCTCTGCTTTTCTGCGAAAAGTCAAGGGTACTTGATGTCCATCACCGGCTGATGAAAATTATAGATATTCCGTCTTCAGAAACGAAAAACTGATGAACAATTAACGTTGGTCAAAATGATCTTACCAAAGCATAAGCCCTCTACCTACATCTAAAGTGGGAGGAAGGGAAAGAAATGGGGCACCGACAAAACAATCGTCTGTGAGCTGAGCGTGCTAACCACTGCGGGATAATTAGCACATCACAGACCGCATTTTGTTCCGCTATGTGCTTAATGTAAATTAAATTAATTTCCTAGACACGTATGAAGGTTTATCCGTCTCAGGTTAGAAGCAGACCTCAAAGTACCCCTTCGGTTGAGCCGTTAAACCAAGGTCCCGTCTGCTTGTTCAGGTGCATGTTAAAGGTCCCATTGCAAAGAGAAGGGAGTTTCTCTCTCCTGGTGTCCTGGTCAACAATCCCCCAAATAATTGGTCTCTCGCTCCATGACTGTTTGTGGGACACTACAATGAGCAAATTGGCTGCTGCGTTTCACCCACAAGATACACAGTCATTCCACTTTACAGTGTATCCTGTGAAGCACTTTGAGATTTCTCAACGATGTGATAAGGCATTATATCAAATCAAGGATTATTATTATCATTATTTTTTGAAGCAGCATTTACTGTACCTGACGTGGCTTGTAACTGGATGTGAAGCCACCGAGAAAGAGCTGGTCAGTCCGTTGATTCACCAGGCGAGACCAATTGTTGCTGGGTGTGCTCCTCACTGTGGCTCTCCCAACCACAGTTACCTCAGCTTCACATGGTACCAGATCCTGCCTGAATAAAATAATATAATACAAAATTAGCAACTTTAAGGGGCACAGCCAGATAAGTTGATTCAGCAGAGAAATATCAAATGAAATTTAATGCAGACAAATGTTAGGTTTACACATTTTAGGAGGAAGAATCAAGACAATAAGTATATGTTGAGGGTATCCTATTAAAAGGAGTAGAAAAGCAAAGGAACTTGGGGTTAATGTACATAAATCCTTAAAGGTGAGAAGGCAGATGAGGGCATCAATTTATGATAGTAATCGAGTAAATGGGGAGGTCAGGAGAAATGTTTTCATGCACTGAGTAGCTAGGATAAGGAATGCCCAGCTTGTTGGGCATAACTCAAATTGGCCTTCAAGAAGGAACTAAACTTCAAAACTTTAAAACTTAAAGAGTCAGCTACAGGGCTATTGGGATAGGGCAGGAAAGTGGGACTGAAAGGATTGCTCTTGAGGGAGTCAGCACAGACACGATGAACAAAATAGCCTTCTTCTGTGCGATAAATTTCTAAGATTCTAAATAAATGGCAATTACATTTCACAAATGAAATACTTGAGCAAGCATTATTTACAGCAGTATAATAATTCTGGCATTTGATGTTGTGTCTTATTGTAGGACGTCTCAAAGCGGTTCACAGGATTATTTTTACTGTAAAGTGTAGTGATTGTTTATTTTTTAGGCAACACTACACTTAACAGTAAACAAAAATCTTGTAAAGCACTTTGAGACATCCCCCAACATGAAAGGCACTATATCAAATGCCAGGTTTATTATTTATTAACTATTATTAGAAGGTCAAGCAAACTCTAAGGGAAGACTGAGAGAGAGCAAGAGGAAGAGAGATCTGAGGAAATACAATGAAAAAATAGAGTAATAGGAGGAAATTGAAATACAATTACATGGTTAATTTAAATGATCCACTCAATCATTTTGCCCACAAAATACTCAGTTCAATCCACTTTACAATATATTCTGTGAAGTGCTTTGATACGTCTCAACGACGTGATAAAATGCTATATCAAATGCAAGGATTATTTTATTATCATCATTATTACTACAATACCATCACAAATTTACATTTATGACATCCCAAAGCGCCTAATTGAACAGGCTGGTCCTGAGCTGTGGGATCTGTAATAGTGAACGGAGATGAATGACTTCTCACCTGATCTGAACAATATACATCTTTCCATCGTTGGCTCTCACTGTTGTGTTCACGATGTTGACTTCTCTAAGAGACTCGCACGCAAACTGGTACTGTGAAAACAACATTTTTAAAAATATTTTAAGATGAAGTGAGGCAGGTCAGGATGGAGCAACACTTGCTCTTTACTGATGCTCAGCAAACAAAACATGACGCTACAGACCACATGTTGGAGGTTACGGTGAGATAGAATGGGATGTAACACACAATTAATAATCCTTGCATTTGATATGGTGCCTTAACTCATCATTGAGATGTCTCAAAGTGCTTCACAGAATATACTGTAAAGTGAATTGAGTCTTGTAGCTCAGTGGTTAGAGCACTCGCCTTGCAAGCTGGAGGCCTGGATCTATTCACGGCAGGACAAAATATTGGGCAAGGTAACTTACACCACATGCCTTTGTTTATCTAGCAGTAAGTGGAACCCAGATTTTAGTCGATTGGCAGATCGCTTTTCCAGGGGTACTAATTCCTTAAAAAAAAATTGTTCACTTCAATCCAGGACGGTTTGTGGGACACTGCTGTGTGATGAACAACCAGCTTCCTACTTATTGCTAGGTAAACAGAGGTGTGTGGAGTAAGAAAACTTGCCTAAGGTTTTGCCCCGCACTGGGTATCAACTTGGGTTGTCTCGCTTGCAAGGCGAGGTCTCTAACCACTACGCTACAGGACTCCACCAACTATCATTAACACAAGTACTTAGAAAGAACCACATAAATTTACAGCACAGAAGGCGGCCATTTGGCCTTTTGTGTTTGTGCTGACTCTTTTAAAGATCAATCCTTTCAGTCCCATTCATCTGCCCTTTCCCCCGTACACCTGTCGTTTATTCCTTTTTGAGTCAGGAAACTTACCTAAGGTTTCACCCCACATGGGTATCAAACCCAGGTCCTCTCGCTTGTGAGGTGAGTGCTCTAACAAATAAACTACTGGACTGCACTGATCTACACTCTCTACCCCCTCCTCGCTCACTCCCTTCCCTCCCCTCACCCTGACCATTTCCCCCCTGCTCGGGTCCTGGCCCAACTGTACAGCGCCTTGGGACGTCCTCCCGACGTAAAAGGCGCTCTATAAATGGAATCTTGTTGTTGTACATTCGCACTGATCTGAACCCGTCAGTTCTAAAACATTGTTAACACTGCTTATCGGCCTTGTTACTAACAGGCATTCGAATCTGCAAGTGGAAATCCTGTTGTATCAATTGGGGCCAGAAGGTTAAAGAGTATTTTTTTCTCAGAGAAATTGATCTTTGTTGATTATAGAAGTATAGTAGATTGTGAACTATGCTAATAAATGATTGCAAGTTCAAGACCTCTGCAATGCACTGCATTTAGACATACTCAGTGATATTTATTGTTAAAGGGGCTGCATTGTCTTGAAAGGTGAGCTTGATCAGATTTGTAATGCAAATGGCATCACTCTATATATTCCCCGTTATTTCTTAAATCAAACTCAATTTTAACTTAAGAAGGAAAAGGGATAAATCCCTTAAGGATAATGTGTATTCCTTGCAAATTTATTTGGCAATGCAAGACATCAGATATTGCCTTCACTCACTGTCCTGCTTACTGAGATGCAATAAAATTTATAATAATACTACAAGCATTTTCATATAATACCAACAATATCAAAATGTCTCAAAGCATTTTACAGGAAATTGCTGTCAAATTGTAAATTTGTGATATTCTAGTTTGTAGGCAAATGCACCAGCCAATTTGCACAAAACAAGGTCCGAAAACAGCCATATGAGGTGAATGAGCAAGTTATGTGAAGGACTTATGGCCAAGATACCAGGATAAACTCCTTTCTTTTCCAAATAATGGCGTGAGTTCTTTAATGGTTTCTCGGTTTAACATCACATCCATTAGAAATAATTTCTCCATATCGACTCTATCAAAACCCCTCAGAATTTTATAGACCTCTATCAGGTCTCCACTCCACTTTGTTGCAGTGAAAAAAGGCTCAGTTCCTCCAGTCTTCGCTCATAGGCCAAACCACTCATCTTCGGTATCATCCTAGTGAATGTCCTCGGCACCCCTCTATCGCCCTGGACCTCATTCCTCACTTGGGTGACCAACATTGGACACAATATTCTAATTGCGGTTTAACTAACAATTTATAGAAGTTTTTAGCATTATATCTTTGATCTTGTATTCTACAGCCCTATTTATATACCTTACATTTCATTATTTTTTTTGACAGCTTTGTCCACCTGCCTTTCCACCTTTAAGGATTTATGTACATTATTCCACAAATCCATTTGCACTTCCACTCCTTTAAATATTTAACAACCCAAAATATATTTCTGTTTATTCTTTCTCCCAAAATGTGTCTGCCTTAAATTTCATTTGCCATTTTTCTGTCCGATCAACTAACCTGTTTATGTCCTTGAAGTTGCTTCATTGTTAGTTATGCTTCCTATTTTCATGTCATTTGCAAACTTAGAAATTGTGCCCCTTATACCAGAATCCAGATCATTTATATAAATAGAGAAAATCAGGAGTCCTAACACTGACCCCTGGGAGACACCATTATTTAAAGTGTTCTTAGACTCTACCCTGCGTAGAGGGCACTATATAATTGCAAGTTATTGTTGCTGTTACACCTCTCCATTACAAATAATAACCATGTACTCCCACCCTCTATTTCCTATCCTGTAACCAACTTACTCTCCATTCTATTACCTTACCAGTAATACCACTTACCTTTTTTTTAACAAGCCTCTTATTCAGCACCTTATCAAAAGCCTTCCGAAAATCCCTTTGTACCACATCCACAGCATTACCTTCATCTACTTTCTTGGTTATTTTGTCAAAAAAAACTCGATTGCATTTTGTCAGGCAAGATTTGCCTTTAACAAATCCGTTCTGACTGTCTTTAAGCAAGCAATCCATGTGTTTCCAATTGGTTAGTAATTTTATCCCCAGGAATATTAAAGAGCAGGAATATTAAGGCGCAGGAACCTGATTACCGAGACCTCCAAAGAGGGTTGACTTGATTCTGACATTCTGTCGCGTATCACGTTACCTGGAGCCATCTCAGCTCGAAGGGTATCCCCACCCCCTCCCAAAGGAAAGTGCTACCAACTGAGCCAGGCTAACAGCCAACATTTATCCCTTGGTAGAAATAAACATGCCCCTCTGTCAGAAATGCTGATTGATCAAGGCATCAGACTTGATGCTGAAAACCACGAAGAAGATGGAAATAAAAATAGGAGTTTAATTGGATAATTCTCTTTCCACTGCTGTTTCAGCAGCTCGAGGCTATAGAACTAATCTCCTCAGTGGTTTGTCTGCACGCTGTACCAAACCCTCTCAGTGTCTGTTATTCGTGACTGAGTTATATAAAAAGGGCAGCCTGAAGCACTAAACGTTAGGTTCGTTTGATAAGCTTTCATAATAGTGAAGAAACATTATTACGTCTGTATGGTTGAACGTTGTTCCAAAGTTGATGTTCCCTAATGCATGTGCTTGGTCCATTCACCTCTCATTATGTAAAAACTAATAAAGCCACTGGAAGTACTTGAATAAGGTTAGAGAAAGCCTTATTTATTTTACTCTGGGCACTGCCAACGTAATCGTGGCGTCCTGTAGCTCAATGGTTAGAGCACTCGACTCGCAAGCGAGAGAACCTGGGTTTGATTCCCGTGCAGGGCGAAACCTTGGGCAAGTTTCCTTACTCCACACAGAGCCTAATAATAATCCCTCCAAAAACAAAACAATAATAAATTGGTCATTTTCAATCCACGACTGTTTGTGAGACACTGCTGTGCGCGATTGGCTGCCGCGTTTCTCCAACAAATATACAGTCAATTCACTTTACAGCATATTCTGTGAAGCGCTTTGAGACATCTAGAAGATGTGAAAAGCGCTATATCAAATGCAAGGATTATTATTATATTATTATATCAAAAGCAAGGATTCTCCTTATTATAATGATGTCATGCAGGTTGTCTTCCTTACTCTGTAGTCACAACAGGACAACATAGGTCTGAAAATCACAATAAGGCTCAGACCTTGACTTGGCTCCCACGCTCGTGTACAAATACTGTCCCTGTGCTTTACAGAAGCTTTGTGAAGCGACTTGAGATATTTTGATGTGATAAGGCACTAATAATAAATGGGAAGTTTAGTAGAAATTTTTTCACACACAAATGCACTGCGGGGAGCAGTAGTTGAGGCAGAATCCATTTTAGCTTAGAAAATTAAACTAGATCAATAATAATATTCCTTGCATTTGACATAACGCCTTATAACGTCATTGAGACATCTCAAAGCGCTTCACAGAATGTATTCTAAAGTGGATTGACTGTGTATTTTGTGGGCAAAATGCAGCAGCCAATTGCGTACAACAAATACCTAAAAATGATTTGACTGCAAGGGTATGGGGAAAGGACAAATAAATGAGACTTAAAAGAGGCAGCACAGACATGATTGGTTGAATGGCCTTCTTCTGCTCTGAGAATTTCTATGGTTCTAAATTCTACGTGGGTCTAGATTTAATATATTAACAAAGCATTTCAAAGCAACCATTATTTGGCAAATTGTTGAATTCATTCTTAACTTTGAAGTCAGTTATATGTATTTGTTCAAAGAACTGTGTAAAAATCACTTTTTTTATATCGGGGTTTACACCGAAAATAATGACAAAACAAATCCTCGCATTTGATATTGTGTCTTTCATGTCAGGAGGATGTAGCAGAGCACTTCACAGGATATACTGTAGAGTGTAGTGACCGTGTATTTGGTAGACAAACACGACAGCCAATTTGCACACAGCAATCAACAGTCCTGCAAACAGCCAATGATTAATTTTATTTGGGGGATTGTTGGCCAAGGCACCAGAAGAAACTCCCTTCTCTTTTCGAATAGTGCAATGCAATCACATCTACACAAACAAGTAGACAGGACCTTGGTTTAATATCTCATTTGAAGGATAGCACAATGCAAGGACAGTCAATGCAAGACTTCCCCAGTATTGTATTGCAGCGTCACCCGAGACTGTATGAGCTCAAGGTTCCGACATGGAGCTTGAACCCACAACCTTCATAGATGAGAGTGCTACCAACTGAACCAGGTTGACACCTTAGTTCATGGCAACATTTTGACTGGTAACTTTAGAATCCGCAGTCTAGAAGTCTCCAGCGTAAACATAGCTAATGTGTTTTTCTCAGCAAACCCACGCTCCCACCCCCGAATGGACACATGGACTCAATAAAATCGACCTGTTTCAGGTCAACTCTTTCAAGAATTCCAACTCACAGCCATTAGAAGCACTTCATTTCAGCGGAGTAATTGGGGGATGTTATTAGAGGCACAATCTGTACAAAGGAAATACTCTCAGATGGAAGCAGAGACACACAGTGAGCCCAAGGCATCTATCTTTAGGTGGTTGCAGGTAAATCAACAAAATCCTCTTCTCAGACAGATGCTGCCTGTTGAATCCACTGTTATCTTCACAGATGGTTTTATTCTTAATTGGCACACTCCGTCCATCAAGGCAGCTACTACAGCTGCAACTTGTACTTAAAGGGGGTGGAAATTGCTGGTATTCCTGAACATGTTCCTCTACTTTAACTATCACTGGGGGTGATTGATTTAATTTTTTCTGACTCATGTGGAAACCCATCACTGTGCTTAAGTTAGACCAAGAGTTCCACATGTGTGTGGCACTTACACATGGCAGTTAAATAATATCATAATAATAATCCTTGCATTTGTTATAGTGCTTTATCACGACTTTCAGGTGTCTCAAAGCGCGTCACAGAATATACCGTAAAGTGAATTGACTGTATATTTTGTGGGCGAAACACGGCAGCCAATTGTGCGCAGGAGTGTCCCACCAACAGTTGTGAATTGTGTTTCCTTGTGTCTGGAAAAGAATGCACACTCTCTCCCTGAAGCCATGCACCCTGCTTACCTAATCCAAAGAGTATTAACCACAGGTTGGCAAGAGCCAAGGCTTGGGTACCACAGAGGGTGCATTGGAGTAATACTGAAAAACTGCATTGCTTGCAATTGATATCGCTGTCTGTAAAGCTTTTCCGCTTCTTGACCATCAAGAACCACCCTACCCATAAGGGCTTTGGGTTGCAGGATTAACAGGAGCTGAGTGGGATAATTCCCTGCCCCCAGTGACTGGTCAACCCTTCCAGATCTTGCCGATGAGCCAGTCTGTCTGTTCTGTCATCAGCAGTGCCCTGGACTACAGCGGACTCGCCTGGCTCAGGAATTGGACGCCGAAGAAGACCACAGAGGGTTAACCGGTGATGATTGATTGAGGAACACTTTATCATTTTTCCCTTCCCCACTATGAATTATTGGCCGGGAGAAACTTCCTTCTCTTTATGAATAGTGCCGTGGGATCTTTATCGCCCAACAGAGTCGACAGACTGGGCCTTGGCTAAACATAGTGGTTCTCGAACAAGTTTTGTTTGTGCGGCCATTATCATTTACGGGTGGCCACAATGCGACTTTTCATATTATGTGCTATTTCCCCTCGGAGAGAGGGAGGGAGAGAGAGTGCAAACTAGACCGTACGCCCACCCTCAGGGTGTTCCCTGGGAATTGTAGTCCTGTTTCACCCTCCGCAGCCATAGGCCCAATGCACTCTCGACCTACAAGGACCAACATGCACTGCACTCCACACCCCCTCCCACCCAGCTGGAGGGCTGCTGTGGCCCCACAAAATCACCCGATGGTCACATTTGCAAAACACTGATTTAACGTCTCATTGGAAGTCGGTATCTCCGACAATGCACTGTCCCTTCCCTCCCAGCATTAGAGAGTCAGCCTCGACTGTGAATTCAGTGTCCTGAAATGGAGTTTGAGCCCTAAACCTTCTGACTCAGACATGAGAGTGCTACCGACTGAACTATCCCAATCGATCATTGCAATGAGTCCATTTGGACCTTCCTTACCTGCAAGAATCCCTGTTCAACAGAGAGCTTAATGAATAAGAATCCAGCTGCCATCTCGCTCTGCTGGGTGTAGAAGAGCATCCCGTGTGAGCTAAACGTTTGGAATCGAATCCATATCTTGTTTTGGGATAGCAAGTGGAAACCTCCAAACTCCAGATAGGAATCCCCAGAATATTGGACGTAACTAGGGTGACGAGCTGTGGAGAAAGAAACAGGGAGAGAGAGAAAGATACTTTATTTTCTCAAGATTTTCCTCTTCGACCTTTACCACTTGGTAAAACGTTTAGAATGGATGTTCTGGTGGGATATGATGTCAGTGCTCAGTTAGGCTGAATTAGCAGATCTTGGGAGGGGAGATGAATGATGACCAAAAACTCAGTCAAAGAGGGAAGGGGTGAATGGGAGGATGGGGTTCCCCAGAGTTTCTTTGAAGGAATTAAGCCTGAATTAAAGAATTTGCCAATCTTGAATTTTAAGATGTTGGTTTTAAGGTTAATACCAAGATATGTTTCAGGCCACGTACCTGAACCTCTGAATGAGACAACAACATAGAAACAGGAATAGACCATTCAGCCCCTCAAGCCTGTTCCACCCTTCTATAAGATCATGGCTGAACTATACCTCAACTCCAATTACCCACCTTTGCCCCATATCCCTTGATATCCTGACCTAACAAATATCTATCCACCTCAGTCTTGACAATTTGAATGTATCCAGCATCCACAGCCTTTCGGGGGAGAGAGGCAAATGTGTTTCCTGTGATAGAATCACAGCCCTTTGGGATGTCCTCTCCACATGTAAGGCACTATATAAATGTAAATTGTATTGTATTGCAATTGGATTGTTTTGTTTTCGGAAGGCTGTTTAGACCTATGATTCTGATCTGCATTGACCAAAATTCACTTGTGAAATTGCAAATGTAATATAGAAAGGCTATTATTTTCACACAGATATTGGAACTCTCCTTAACTAACTTGTACGGTTATTACCACCTATAATATCGCACTTGTTTTAGTACGTCCAAAATGTAACATTCTACAGCCTAAGGCACCACAGTACAATAAAAAGTAAGGTTGCACTTTTAACTAGTTTTTCTTTGAATGGCAACTTCCAAGAATTCGAAATCAGCCATCAATAATTCCACCCAGTTTTTGCCTGTGAGACCATTTTGACATGTCTCAATGACATGATAAGACGCTATATCAAATGTAAGCATTATTATAATAACATTTATCATGATTTCCGACAAGGCCGTGAAAACACATAAAGATGTGTTCCAGTTCACCAACACTGAACCTAAAGCTGAATAAATACAATTTACATTTATATAGTGCTTTTTATGTCAGGAGGATGTCCTAAAGCGCATTCACAGTGCTGGATGGGCACCCGAGCCGGGAATGGGAGCAGAGGGGGTGGAGAGAGGAAAGATGACCGAAAGAGATAGGTCTTGAGACATATTTTGAAAGGGGTGTGGGATGGAACGAGTCAGAGGGAATCTGGGATGGAGCGCCAGAGAGTGGGGGCAGAATGGCTGAAAGCTCGCCCGCCAGTGGTGGGGCACAAAGTGTGGGGGTATGAAGCAGGCCAGTGCTCTTTGAGTGAAGATAGTGGCTGGGTCAGAATGATAAAGGAAGTCACACAGGTAGGATGGGGTTAGATTGTGTTGGGATTTAAAGGTGAGAATGAGGTCCTTGAACTCAATCCACTGGGGGATGGGGAGCCAATGGAGCCCATAGAGGATGGGGGAAGACTGGTGCTAAAGAGGACAACAACAACAACTTGCATTCATATAGCGCCTTTCATGCAGGGCAGCATCTCGGAGTGCTTAACAGAGCCGGGGGGAGAGTGAAGATAACCGTAGAGTCAGTCAAAGAGGGAGATCTTAAGGCATGATCTGAAAATTGGGAAGGATCAGGCCACAGAGTTCTAGATAGTCTGTAGCTTGGGCAGGAAAGGGCTACACAAATGCTCCAATTTGCACCTAAATTACTTTAGNAAAAAAACCCTGAAAATATATTTTGCACCTCAGGCACAGGATCAAGCCTGACATGTACTCCATACTATTTAGTGAATGTCCAATAGATTATTTCCACTGGTCGGTGAGTTAGTTAGTAACTAGAAGGCACACATTTAAATAAATCATTAAAATACAACAGAGTACAATTTATATTTATACAGCGCCTTTCACTTCAGCAGGATAGCTCAAATTCTTGTTGCTGAAAAGCAGGAATATTATAATAATAATCCTTATATTTTAAAGAGCGTCTTTCAAGCCAGGTGAAAGTCTCAAAGCGCTTCACAGAATTTGGACTGTGAAATAGAGTGACTGTGTATTTGTAGGCAAAGTCATCAGCCTAATTGCAAACAGAAATATCCCACAAACACCAATGAAGTGATTGATCAATTTTATTTTGGGGAACTGTTGGCCAGGATATAGTGCAATGGGATCTTTTCGAACAGCGCAATGGGATCTTTAACATCTACCTGAGCAGGCAGATGGGGCCTCAGTTTAACATCTAAACCAAAGGATAGTACCTCTGACAATGCAGTGATCCCCTCAGGACCGCCCTGGAGTGTCAGCTTAAAATATATCACTTCAAGTCCAGACGTGGGGCTTGAAACTCAAAACCTTCTGACTCAGAGCCAGACTGACAACAACAACAACACAAAGATTACGTTTGCATAGCGCCTTTCACATCTGGCAGACATCTCAAGGCGCTGTACAGTCAGGGATTTGGACCCGAGCTGCGGGTTGGGATCAGGAGGGGTGGAAGGCAGGGAGTGTAGGGGTAGGAGGGTGACTGAAGGCGCTGACATACCGAAAGGGTATGGGCCATGACTAACAAGGCGGGATTCAGTGTTGTTTATGAGGAGAAACACCAGTGCAGATTCGATGGGGGAAAGGGCCTGTTTCCGTGTTGGAATCTGGCTCCGATTCCATGCCATAGATTCTACGTTTCAAATCGGGCTGAAACAGTTGCCTGTCAATTACTCTCTGTCTTCCAAAATATTACCTCATTCAATCAATATCAGGCAGCCGGCTCCTTATGCCCTACCTAAATGTGTAATAATAGCCAATAAAATTGTTTCTAACATGTTTTTCTTCATCAGCCTCAGAATCCAATACTCTGACATTAATCCAATATCACCTCCAGCAGCCATTTGAAGGCAACGGAGGATGAAACAAGAGAGAGTGAAGTCTGCAATAAGGAGTGTGGACAAAGCATCAGTGCCCTTTTGACTAGTGTAGCTCATGGGATTGGAGCCAGCGAGCAGGACTGGAGGTAGTTTATTTTCCTTTCTCTGTATCTCATCAACTCTGGATGATTCTCTTTTTTTGTTTGCCTGAGTGACAACTGCAGAAATAAAATATACGACAAAATTTTTTTTAAAAATGAGGACCGATGTCTTTGGAGTACAGTGAAAAGAGCGCATGACCTCAGAGAAGTGCAATTGCAATTTTTGCTCTAAAAATACAGTCAATCCACTGCACAATATATTCTGTGAAGCGCTTTGAGATGTACTCAACAACGTGATAAGGAGCTATATCAAACGCAAGGACTATTATTATTATCATTAAAATTATGGGACCTCCATCCAGACTCGTTCCCTCTAATTAACTCTCCCCTTTCCATCTCAAGACGGACCTCTTCGACCACACATTTGGTCATTTTTCCCTTCCGCATCTCCTTTGAGCTCCTACCCCCAGCTCAGGTGGTGTCCACCAGCAATGTCAAGCACTTTGAAACTTCTCCCGGACTTGAAAGACGCTGTAGGTAAGTTGTATTGTATTTATTGCTTGTTTATGTAACCCAGTGAGTCAGATTTCATGGAAGTGGGTTACAGCTCGGCTCAGTTGGTAGGATTCACACCTCTGGGTTACAATAGTACACCTTGCCTCAGTCTGGGTAAAGTAAAATATGATTTCTGCCCACATAATATAGTCAATCTACTTTACAGTCTATTCTGTGAAGCGCTTTGAGACGTCTCAACGACGCGATGAGGCACCATATCAAATGCAAGGATTATTATTATAGTTGATTCTGTTCTTTTTCCCTGATTCCCATCCCCTCACACTCTCCCTTTCTGCTTTCAAAACCTTTCTAAAAGTCTAGCTCTTTAACCACAGTTTCGGTCATCTTTCCTCCTGCCCCATCAACCATCCTGCCTGGGGTCCCACTCTCTCTGACTTACATTTTTAGATGTTTTCCTCCACGAATATAAGTGAAAGTTGTTGATTATTATTATTATATTATAGTGTAATAATTCTTGCATTTGGGATACTGGCTTATCTCATTGGGAGGATACCTTCAGAGCATTTACTGTATATTTGAAGACAAATGCAGCAGCCAATTTACACGCAGCAATGTGCCACAAACAGCCATGAAGTGAATGATCGATTTTATCTGGGGAATTGTTTGCCAGGACACCGGGAAAAACTCCCGAATAGTGGGATCTTTAACATCTACCTGAACAGGCAGGTGGGACCTTGGGTTTACAAACAGCATTGAAACAGGCCGTTCGGCCCAGTCAGTCTGTCCTTATTTATATGTAACAGAGTCTAAAAACTCGAAAACAAAACCTGCTCTGGAAATATTCCCAACAATCAAAATCAGCTCACTGCCGAGCTGTTTCATAACTGTGCTTTATCAATAGAAACTGGTTGTCCAAACAGCTGTTATATAATTACACTTTAATAGACAGGCTTTATAGATCAGCTCAGACGAGTACTTAGGAGCTATGCTTCTCTCAAATCAATGGATGATGCTTTTGACACAGGTGCTGAATACCAAGGGCTTGAAATGTTTTTTATTTGTGTTTTTTGTTAGGAAGCAAAGACCCCCCCGACCCTCTCCTGTTCCAGGAAGGGAGTTTTTTTTTTAATCTATATGTACTTTTATTTTCTTTCCATTTCCCCTGCTCCCCCAGGGAGAGGAGAGGAAGGAAATGGGCAGACAATAAAACAATGTATTGACTGTGATTCTATACATGTGCAGTTAGTGTTTGGGCAACAGATACAATAGAAACTCAGGAGCGTACAAGTAGCAGAAGACTATACCCATCCATCTGGTCCAAAGTCAACAACGACTTATATTGCTTCACAAAGGATAATATCTCAGAGGGCTTAGCACGACGATAAAGAGCCTTTTACTTTTGTCCTATTGTAGGTGACTTCTGGGAATATCGGTCATTAACC